GTTGGATCCATGTAAATTTGCTGTTTCACATTTTGTGTTTTACAATTTTTATGGGCGTTTTTTACAATCACATATAAGGGAAGCAACTTTTCATGCCCTAAGATAACCTTTCATTAATCATGAATTTACATAACTTCCGTCCAGGGGACGGGTACTCCAGCTAGTTATCTCTTTTAAACACGATGATTTTAGGACTACTTTTCTATACTCTGTAGGTATCAACCACGGCCCAGTGATTGCCGGAGTCGTTGGTGCCCAGAAACCACAATACGACATTTGGGGCAACACCGTTAACGTCGCCAGTAGAATGGATAGTTGTGGCGTCACCGGTCGGATACAGGTGAGCGTTTGGTCCGTGTGGTCAATTATATACTTCTCTCCCTGTTTCTAGGATATTTATCACTGCTTTGACCAAGAGTGGCTACGAGTTCGTGGGTTTGTAAATCATAGACGATCACTTTAGGACATGACCATTTTGCTTGTTGTTGTTTTCTAGTTTTAAAGCAACCATAAATCAAATTCCTGTGGTCAAGGTCATTAATTCAGGCTGTTCAGACCATCTTTGACTTATTTTATATCTTAAGTATATTTCTAAGGAGTTCTTTATCGAAAGTTGTTTTCTTTAAAAACAAACAAATTCCCAACTGTTCAGTTAGAAGTTTTTACAAGACGTGAACCTGTATTTCTAACCGAACTAGCGATGTATCACTATAGTAACTGGCTCTACTAATCTTACACGCTTATCAGTGTCAGATGATAACAAGCTCAAGTAAGTAACCGTACCAAGCTCTGGCGTTTTACAGTCTTTTATATTTGATCTCCAAGTTATCATCCTTAGAACAGTCGAGACTACGAACATCTCAGTGAAGCATGCGTCGTCATGGCAACGGGGCTTGACTGCCGGGAAGATGTTTGTTTACCTATGATTCCTGACTTCAACATTACATTGTTAGCAGTGAGATACATCACGTGTCATGGAGCTAACTTATCTTAAAACTTTGTTCAGTGTTTATGTTATGTAGAAACTTCTGCTCTACGTATGTCCCGCCATCTATCGGACATTATAGATTAATACTTTTCTATCTTTTCATAAATAACTTCATCCACTAGCTAAGTTCTTGTTAAGATTTTGGGCTATCTGTGCTGTGCACACCACAAGTATCGAAACCCAGTTTTCAACATTATACGTCTTGAGATTTACTGCTGTGCCACCGGGGAGAGAGGGGGGTGTCTACTCTACATATAAAAATGTTCCTTTTTTTTATAAGCGTGTTTCTTTTATTTGCAGGGTTTTAACTTACTTTATTTGGGCCGTTTGTATATGCTCAAATAGTAACGTATCGCTCCAGATGCAGGCTGTAGAGGCGCGGACGGCATGTTTAGCACTTATATATTTGGTTAATGGCGAATTTTTGGGCCCTTTGAAAGGGAAACGCTAGCAAGATAAATATTCATATAGCTAAACAGTTAAAAGACTTAGAGCCATAGGAAACAATATTTCGAAAGAATGTGGTATTCAGCGTATTGTACGGTTACGAAAGAGAACCTTCCGACATAAAAAGCCACTGCGATGAAGCTGAGAATATCTCCTGTAATTTAAAGTTAACGAGCTAAAAGATAAGATACTCGTAATCTATTTTGAATCCAGTCCCTATTTTCACGACGAAAACGACCGAAAAAAACAAACTAGAACCATAGCAATCTCATTCAACAACTACTGCTAAGCCTGCTCTCTGACTAAGTATACTCTTGGAAGACAATGTCCACATACAGTGAAAAGTACATAGATAGTTTGCGAAGATGTGTGATTTTAGGACCTCGTAAACCTTCGCAGGTGCTTGTTGTAGTGAAAAAAAATCAGTCTTTACCATTAATGTGTAGTCATGGCCTTCGAACTGAAAACAATGGACAATAGAGAAGGTTTTCTGAAAGGCAACGAATGGACCTTTTAAAATGTGATTAACCTCACTAAGAACTGGACATTACGTTCGGACTACGATTATTTAGTTCAAACGATACAAGAAACGTTCCTCGCTCACAATTCTTAATCAAGATCTCATTATTTTGAAAACGTTATTTTGTTTGCTACAGAACGGAAGACTTTAAGACTAGTTTTTTTCTATTTTTTGACTACTTACGTGTTATTAAAAAGCCTTTATTTCGTGGCTATTTACGTGTTGTTAGAAGGCTTTCCTTTTTTGACTACTTACGTGTTATTAAAAAGCCTTTATTTCGTGGCTATTTACGTGTTGTTAGAAAGCTTTTCTTTTTTGACTGCTTACGTGTTATTAAAAACCTATTATTTTGTGGCTATGCGTTATTAAAAGGCCTGTTCTGACTTTTTACATGTTATGAGAAGGCCTATCCTCTGTGACTATTTACATATTATGATCTTTGTTCTGAGACTATTTACGTGCTATTTAGAAGTGTTTATCAATCTCTAATTTCCTGACTAGAGATGTTTAATCCACCTGTTATTTATAATCTTACCTAGAATGTCGTTATCAGATGATATGTTAGACGAGTGCACGTTATGTTAAATGTTAATTTTGTACATGTCTTTATTGGTTTGTTTGTTGAATTTCGCGCAAAACTTCACGAGGATAATTTGCGTTATCCGTCTATAATTTTGAAGTGATAGACTAGAGAGAAGACAGGTACTCTGCACCACCCACCTCCAACTCTTTATCAGCGAATAATGGGATTGATCATCACATTATAACAAGTCTGAAAGAGCGAGAATGTTCGTTGACGGGATTCGAACCCGCGACCCGCAGACTCTAACCATCAAATCACTACTCAAAAGATTATTAGTGCGTGTAATATAACAAGTAGAAAATAAGTGCTCCCACTTGTTGCTAGGTTATTACTTGTAAGATAACAAGTAGAAGATAAGTGCTTCTACTTGTTGCTAGGTTATTACTTGCAATATTACAAGTGGAAGATAAGTGCTTCTACTTGTTGCTAGGTTATTACTTGTAAGATAACAAGTAG